CAAGTCGAGTGGGATTGGAATGGAAACAGCCCTGACCAAACGGCTGGAGAAGCACCCTCGACCCACGCATGCACAGGCCGATACGAAAAATCAAAGACACCCATGGACGCACTGTCATTCTCTATACGCTACCATGGGCGGTTTTGCCATTGATACTCGCGGCCTAGACCTAGCCTACCTTCCCGGCGGGCGGCAAAGGATGACATTGACATTACCGGGTCTTAAGTACATTTCCGAACATCATCCCAGACTGATTCCAGATATACCCGAATCAGAGATACAAGATAAGAGCAAAGCCAGCATGTTCACGAAGGTCTTGACTTGCGGACAAGCGCTTTGGTTCGGCATCCAGTGTTTGACACGATCCACTCAAGGTCTTTCGATATCGCTTCTGGAGATCAATACTGCAGTGCACGCAGCATGCGCTCTGTCTCTATACTGGTTCTTTTGGTGGAACAAGCCTCTAGATGTTGAGGAGCCGACTATCTGCACGAATGCAGACATACATCCAATTGCCGCATTGGTAGCTGTTTATCAAATGTATCCATGTGTGCAGCCATTGCGGACGGATGTTAGACAGGATGCAGACCCCTACGCATTCTCCGATTCAGGAAACTCGGAGCCGCATCCTGTTCTTACGCACATCTCGCTCGGACGAGCCAGGAACGGACTCAATGGGGAGGGCCAATATCTCATATATCAAGGTTTTGCGTTCCCCACATATGAAAAAGGGTTCGCATACGAAGATCTTACTGAATTGGACTTTCGACGCTTCGACTTAGCCTCAAGAGCTGATAGAAAGATCAACTTGCGCGTTGTTTGTTCGAAACGCGCTTTCTTGAGTGTTCGTTCGCGCAATCGACCAAAGATCGTGCTTGCTCCGCGTCAACATGATACACGACATTTAAAACTCGGTTACGACAAACGGCCTCATTTCGATACAACAAGGAGTGCCCCTACAAAAGGGTTTGTCCTGGCTGGTCTCTTCTACGGCAGTGTGCACCTGCTTGTATGGAATCGACCTTTTCGCCACAGTACCGATGAACTGCTTTGGAAAGTGAGCAGTCTCACCATTCTGGGATCAGGCCTCCCATATGCTCTCTGGTGTCTAGCCATGGATCTGCGCGATGGGGTTTGGGGCGAAGCTGCTCAACTTCCACTCCATGAGCGGCCCAAGAGCATCTGGAAATACACTTTTCCACAGGCCTTTCACATCTGTGATCTCATTGTCAAGTCCATTCCTGTTCTTCCCGTTCTTTTCTACATTTCCTGTAGGACCTTCATCATCGTCGAATGTTTCCTCGACGTCTTTCATCTCCCGGACTCCGCTTTCGAAGTTCCGAGGTGGTCGCAGTACTTCCCGCATATCGGATAATCTATCACAGTCGATGTAAGAATGGGCAAGGATTGTATCTAATTCCAGATCACAAGACCTTCACATGTACCATACATCCATCTACATTGTTTTGTCTCTGTAGAAGGCGTATGACAGTCTAAACAATGTCTCTTATCAATGTCGCAGGACCTGTGGCGCAGCCCAGAGACATGTCTGCTACTCTGGCGAATTTGAGCAGGATGTTTCGCGTAGTCGGCGATGTTGCGCGAGCGACATGTGTGAAGATCATCGTAGTCAGCGCCGACGTTGCATGCGCCCGTGTGACAACCTTCAACACTAACGTTATGCGCAGGTACCCGTGACGCATCTCTTTAATGTCTACACTCCCCCAAACCCTCTCGCGATATCTCTCTCGGTGCTCGGCAACAGCACCGCTCTACACCTGAGCGGTGTAGTCCGGCTACCCGGCAGTTTCACACTGCATTTCACAACGCGCAAAATCCTATTCGACGAAACCAAGACATCGGTACCGCTTGCACTCAGACAAAGCTCTCCTCGGTCTTCACGCTCAACTCGTTCACGACCGTCATGCCTTGTGCGCCTAGAAGCGCCTGAACCTGCATGTCACAGACCGTCGCCTAAATCAGCCGTTTAACCGCAGGTTCTTCTGCGTTTTACATATTTCCAAGGTCCCGAGGTCCCCAAGGCCGCATGTTTGAGAAGACAGGAAGTGTTTCAAGTGCAAGGCAGCGCTTCGGTTTCGCTTGTCGAACTCGGGTTTGACGGCACGTTTGTGGTTGTCTAGCGTGGCGTTGGTGAGAGATGGGTTGTAGCGCAGCTTGTGCAAGCCACCACCAAGGTGCTAGTTCACGAGAGAAGGTCATTGTAAGCATACTGCAACCCGCGAGACTAGAATAACGGTACACCGGTTCCATCTCGGCCATACTCCCTACACACAAGAATCATTGTTTTGCCCGCCCGCGATCCCTCGGTTTGCCAGACCCGCCAGGGCCCGACCACCCGGCCAAAGGTTTGAGATGTGCATGATCGACTGCCTGCGACTTGCCTCAGGATCACCGTCCCAGGATACCTTTTATGGAAAGGCGAAATAGGTATCAATGCCATGTACTCAGAAGAAGAGAGCCTCTCACAGCAAGTATAAAGCTCGCATCTACGCCAGCCCATAGTTTGCTTCTCAAGCCAGTCTTCCAATTCACATTTACATTTATTCTTTATTCACTACCCGCTGTGCGGATCAAATTACTTTCACTCACCTATCAACCATTTTCGAATAATCAACTCTTAATACCTCGAAACCAAACCAACAAACTTCGCTACTCCAAAAACCGCCAAAATGCAGTTCTCCATCACAGCCCTCCTCTTCGGCCTCGTCGCCGTCTCCTCCGCCGCCATCGCCGACGTCGAAAACGTCCGCAACACCCCCCGCGCTATACTTGAGAACCGTCAGGCTGCCAACGGCGCATGCTGTATCCCCGAGCAATCGCTTAAGCAGGATGCTTGCACTGTTAATGGTGCGGCTGGAAAGTGTGTGCCTGGAGGACCTGCTGCTTGTACGTATACCTAACACCCTAACACCCAGACGAGTTCTTTTGAGAGAGAGGGGGTGTATGAGAGAGAGACATATACTGACATAAACTAAGGCAACGGCGCCCTCAACTGCGTAGCAAACGACCAGCTCGTGTGCGACAACAACGTCCAGGAGCGTTCTGGCAACTTGTGCCGTTTCCAGGCTGCCAACGGCAAGATTCAGGATGGTGCTCAGCAGATCAACAGCTTGGCTCAGGCTAAGGTTAACTAAGAGAGTGGATGGTGGGGGTTGTGTTGGGGTTGATGGGTGGATCTTTACAGCAAGGTGCATAGATAAATGTATTTGTGGATTGTATTATCGTCTTGCGTGCGTAGAAGTTTGGAGTGATGTGGTAGAGAGTGGGATTTTGATCTACATGGATTGTAGTGTGCTAACCAAAAGTTCTTACGTCTTATCTCTGTTGAAGCACACAGGCTGTACAGTATCTTGGGTATTTTAGTGTTCCGATGTACATGCATATATACTTGAGGTCAGTCCAGAGGTCCGCGCTTTACAGGTCCCAGAGCGTATCTTATTACAAGCAGACACTTCTCTTCCAATGCGGACCTCTTTTCTCATAGAATCGGTCTACTACTCAAGCTAAGACGTGTTGATCAATGCATGCATTCGTGTATCATAACCTCCATATATCTTTATTTGCCCTATGGCCCATGATTCATATCCAAACTTCATCAACCCCATAACCCACACCCCATAACCCACACCTCATCTCAACCATCCAATCTACCGTCCCCACCCCGCAAACCTGCCAATCTCCTTAACCTCCCTCCTTCCAACAACACCCGCCGCAACCGCACACACCGCACCGACACCAACGAGCAGTGCGCGTGCCAAGTTCAAGCTAGCCCACTTGTCCATCAATTCCTTGACTGTCTCGCCTTCCTTGGCAAACTGCTCAACGTGCTTGTCGCGCAGGGAGGCGTTGGCGAGTTCGTCTTTCTTCGCCATGAGTTTGTTGTTTGTGGGGCCGAGGACGAGGATGGTGAAGGGCACGATGGAGGGGAGGAGGAGGGTTGCGAGGGCGTTGAGGCGGAAGGGGGTGGAGGTGCGGTCTTCTGTTGGGTTGTTAGTTATACATTATCGGTGGGTGGCTTGGGATTGGAGTGGCGGCATGAGTGTTGGAAGGGAGATGGGATGGGACAGAACGTACGGTGATAAGCCAGATACCCCGTTGCCAGCGCCGAGATGGCAGCAAGAGGGCGGGCGATTGCGCCGCCGCGTGTGAAGATTGTGTACCATTGCTTTACGGCGAGGGGTGCGGGGGCTTGCATGGCGGCGGGGATGCCGACGACGGAGAGGGAGACGTTGGAGCCTGGTATCTATATCAGCAATGGTTCCCTATACAGTGTATGATCCCGTTGACCACCATAGAGATGCTCATTGAGTGCCAGAGTGTCTTACCAACCAGGAATACACTGCCTGTGATGCCCACCGCCTGTGCGATTGCCAGCGCCGTAGGCGTCTTTTGCGTGAGAATATCCATTGCGTATGTGTAGATGAAGATGAAGGTTCTTCGATTGAAGTATTCAAAGCGAGTTTTTATGACTTGTCAAAGCGGTGGCCTGACTGACAGAATGATAATCGTGGTCGGCGTGAGAGCTCGGAGACGCGCTGCAGGGCTTGGCCGTCAGGCTTCCCAGGTTCCCCGCGGATCCCGATCGCGTCGACTGAAGCTCCGCACTCCGATGCATGCCATAGGTCAACCACAAAGCTCCGACTTCTTGCTTTTGCTCTCTTCATCATCACGGGGGGCTGGATGTGGCTTGTTTGTTGCACAAATCTTAATGTGGTTATATTCCTAATTGTTGTGCCTGGGTGAGACGCGTCGCTTATTGCCGTGAAACTGTAGAAGCATCATCAACGAGCGCTCGACGTACATAAGACTAGCTTCTCTCAAGCTTCTCGCCGATAATTTTGCTTTCGATCTTCGAGACTTACCATAATATATTCGTGCTCATACGACAACAGCATTTACATAGGACAATTTCCGTGCCGCAACCTGTGCCTCGCAACCCTCACCACCATCTAATCCGCTACCAGACCAATCCACCAGCCATGTTTTGTACGTCCCTCACCCCTATTCGATTATCTCTCCCTAACAAACCCCAGCTCTAAACACAACCGCAACCCTCCACCACGTAACGCACCTCCCCCGCTCCGTCTCCTTCGCGACAGCCGTCTCCCACCTCCACAACCACGTCCTCCTCATCCGCCTCGACCCCGAATACGCCTCGCACGAAGACCTCCCCAGCGACCCCTCCACCCCAGACGCAAAATGCTACCGCATAACCGACCACATGAACGCACTTCCCGCCGGTCTCTGGGACACAACCGTCAAGTTCGACGCCCACATGACTGATCTCGACGACGGCGTGCTATGGATGATCAAGGCGCCACTGGGGCTCACACAGCAGACTACGTGGAGGTGTTTGAAGACGGAGGGGTTGAGTGAGGGGGACAGAGAGGGTGCTGAGGGATGCGAGTGGAGTCTTGTGGAGGATGTGGAGATTAGGGCGAATAGGATGTTGGTGGGGACGGTCAAGGCGAAGTGTGAGGAGAATTGGCCGGGGGCGCATGGCAAGTTTTTGAAGTATTGTACGGGGGAGACGGCGGCATAGTGGGATTTGAATGGGAGGAGGGTTGTATTAGGGTCTACGATATGCTGGAGTATCGTGACTTGGCCCTTGGTATGAACATCGTGGAGTACAGCGCAAGTCTGCATCACTAGGTTTGCAACAATTCTAGATGCAAACACTATCCCAGATCCTTACGCCAAGTTCAACGAACTCTTGTTGTCAACCCTAATGGACAACAGCTACAACATGCTTGGTGCAATCCTCACCCGCCCTCCAGGAAACATGGAGAAGCCCGGCTGAATGGTCCATGTGCCGTTGGGCCCAAGGACGTATTTTGCCTGGCGTCTGGGGCGAAAAGTTCCAAGGCGGAGCCTCTGCATCTAGAAGACATCCAGATTGGCGGAATTTGTACCAGTGGCGGGTCGTGGATGTCGGCTAGACGCAAAAAGGCTGCTGCTGGTTGACCCTGCATAACACCAACTGCAGGTTGAAGACCTGACCCTGAATGCCGATGACTTTCTCTTCATATCTTGAATCTGAAGCAAACGTCCATCTCGCAAGATGTGTAAGATGCCTGTAATCCAAGGCTCTTATCAGCTCACGCGACACTGCTTCAACGGTCAAGCGACCAATGTCTCTCTTCAGAGGTGCGCTGGTGACATCGGAGGCCGCACGTGGCGCGCCCCCAATCGGGCCTTCCGGATCTACGCGATAGCAACGATAAGACATTGGACAACAGCAACTCGCTGCACATGAAGTCGCTGCACGTCGCTGCTGCTGGCATCCTTCGCGTCACTTGGTCGCACACCATAAGCATCGCACCCAGATGCCCTCAAGTGATGCCCGCTCGCCTTGTCAGCCAACGGCCAAGACCCCTTCTTGAACCGAAAGGCTATTGATCGGCCTCACGCTCGCCGCATAACACGGGCCATATCCCCGCCTTTCTAGACTGCACTGAACTGCGCGTTCCGCCATCCGCTCAGCTATCAAAAACCGCGCACCCAACCACCGGGTCAGCGTCAGCTCCTCTTGCGTTGTTCCTTTTCGCTGGTACGGGGCTGTTCCCACCTTCTCATCCTGCCATTTTGCTCCAGTAGACGTGACGATATCCTCCTCGACTTCTTTGATCCTCCACCTTCCCCGCCTCGTCCCGCTTGTCGCCGAGCACGCGTACCGCACAGCCACGCTTCACCATGGAGCCTTTGTCCATCGACTCGGTGGTCGTCGACCACAGCGAAGTGCGTCCCGCGCCGGGAACCCCGCCATCAGACGCCATCATGATCGAGCAGCCAAAGCTCAAGGGCAGACAGCGTATTTTGATGGGCCTACAACGGATGGGCTCCTCCTCGAGTCTGGCGAACTTGGGTAGACCCCGCTCTCACAGTCTGAGGAGCGGCGGAAAGGCATCCATGTCTTGCGTCTCCCTCGCATCGCCTGGCTCGCCATATGGAAATTCATTCGGCAGTTCTTACTCCTCGGAACTGTCGAATGGCTTCTCTACAGCTCCTACTTCAGTCGCCAACAGCCCACCTGGCACGCCCTTCTGGGACGAGAGGACTCGTCTGCGGATGAAGACACCAGATATCCCGTCCTCGGTGCCTCTTCCCTCCGCCCGGCGACCATACACACGAGACGGCATTGAAGCTGAGAACGACTACTTCTCGCGACCCGTCCACAAGGTCCAGAAGCGGGCAAACTTCAACTTCTGGAGTGATATGCCAACGGAGATCCGCATGCAGATCCTGAGATACCTCGAGCCGAAGGAAGTTGTGCGTTGTTCGCGCGTCTCCAAGTCGTGGCATACAATGTGCTTTGACGGTCAACTGTGGAGCGACCTGGATACGAGCAAGTTCTACCGCGACATATCTGCCAATGCATTGGTCAACATCATCACATCGGCGGGCCCCTTCGTGAAAGACTTGAACCTCAGAGGCTGCGTACAGCTGAGAGAACACTGGGGTAAGGACGGCTTCATTGAGTCCTGCCAGAACCTGGAGAACTTCTCGCTTCAGGGCTGCCGGATTGACCGAACATCTATCCACTGCTTCTTGCTCCAGAACAGTCGCCTTGTCCACGTCAATCTCTCGGGTCTTGCTGGTGCGACAAACGCGGCGATGAAGATCCTTGCTGCACATTGTCCGAAAGTCGAAGTCTTGAACATCTCGTGGTGCAACAATATCGACAACCGAGGGCTGAAGAAGGTTGTTGAGGGATGCACGAAGCTGCGTGATCTCAGGGCAGGCGAGGTGCGAGGCTGGGACGATGTTGAATTGATGGTTGCACTATTCAAGCGCAACACTCTTGAAAGGCTCGACCTGAAGAACTGCGACAGTCTTAATGACGAAGCACTGGCTGCTTTGATTGAGGGTGTAGATGAGGAGGTTGACGTTCTTACCGATCGCCCAATCGTCCCACCAAGGAACCTCAAGCACCTGAACCTTACGCGCTGCCGCAGCATTACGGATGCTGGCCTGAAGACATTGGTACACAACGTCCCGTCTCTAGAAGGTCTTCAAGTTTCAAAATGCGGCGGCTTGACCGACGATGCCTTGACCAGCCTACTTCCCACCGTCCCCGTTCTCACCCACCTAGACATCGAAGAAATCGACAACCTAACAAACGACGTCCTGAAGACTCTATCTGAGTCCGCCTGCGCCCCCCACCTCCGCCACCTCTGTATCTCCTACTGCGAAAACCTAGGCGACGTCGGCATGCTCCCCGTCCTAAAAGTCTGCACGCGTCTCGCCTCCCTCGAAATGGACAACACACGCATCTCCGACCTCGTCCTCGCCGAAGCCGCATCCGGCCTCCGCAACCGCAACCGCGCTGCGCGTGGCCTAACAAATTCTGAACGCCCCGAAGTAGGCCTCCGCATCGAAGCCTACGACTGCGCAAACGTAACCTGGACCGGCGTCCGCGAAGTCCTATCCCGAAACGCAGAGATCACAAGACCGAATTCTCGGTCCGCGAGTAAAGTCGCGACGTACCCGCGTCAAATCATTAAGCTAAAGTGCTTCCATAACTGGCAGCCAACTGTTGAGGAACATACTAAACGTGTTCTGAGGGGTGACTTTGCGGCTGCGGCGAGGCTGGAGAGGAAGTGGGCGGATTGGATGATGTTGAATGAGGAGGCGGGGGTTGGTGGAGCGGGTGCGAGGCGCAGGAGGAGAAGGGCGAGAGAGGCGCAGATGATGCATGCGGATGAGGAGGAAGCAGGTGCGGGGGCTACGGGCGGGGGCGGGAGGAGACGTCGCGCAAGAAGTGGCCCTGGCGGGTGTGCTGTGATGTGATTGTGGATTGATAGGGTTGGGTGGGTTTTGGTGTTGAGTAAATCTCCGCCACAGGCTTGTGGCGTTTTCTTTTGAGATGGTAGTTGGCCCCAGGTTTGTGGGCTGACGCAGGGATGGTGGCCATGGCCTGAATACGATGAACATGTGTCTAGGATTTTGTTTTACGAGCGCGAACATTAGATTTCAACGATGTTTTGGCCTGGGATGTTTGGAGTTAGGGGCTGGTTACTCTTCCACATTCATAGATGAGCATGTGCTGCATACAGTACGGAGATCCGATACATTGTCATACTGTTCAACACATCGATTTCCATGTAATCATATCGCACTCCAATGGGTTGTGTGATAAAGAGAGCAGCGCCCGCACGTGAGCGCGCGACTAGCTCGAACTGGCGACGCGTCGTTTGCTGGTTGCATTACATCATGTCGGACTCAATCCCATCTCGGACTCAACCCCATTTCGGACTCAATCCCATCCAACAAACATGCGCATATCATCACAAGCTTGCAAGGCCGCCCACCATTCTTGCGTCAGTATCGAGCAAGCATAATGTGCTCTCTAACCATAGATGACAGAACGGTTTCTCGGAACATGATGTATCCGGACCAGAGGCGGCGTGGGTCTGCTTATGAGAGAAGCGCGGAAATCTTCCGAGGCACTAGGTAGCATTACGAAGGAGCTCGTTTTTAGTGTGTTGTAGAGTCTGTGCGGATTGTGGTGTTAACCTACAACACACTGCAAACGAGCGTCTTCGTAATCCGGCAATATATCTTGGCACTATTGTCATAGTAAAGCCTTTTCTCGCGATTGCTAAGCTGGTAGTGTTATAAAGCTAGTAGCCGAAGCATCAGACATGCATTGGACGAACGGTACCTGATCATGTCTTCAAAAAGGGAATATAAACACTCTGCCACCTCACAATACACTAACAAAGAAACTCACACTCAACGCCTCTCTGACAGTCTCCAGTCACTTCTTTTTCAACATCTCAATGGCGGGATATCAGAACAAAGCGGCATGGCTACCAGGCGTAGGCAAGCCGGTCGATGTCGGTCCTGCCGATATCCCCGAACCGGGCCCAGAGGAACTTCTCATCGAGGTAAGCAATGTGATCGGGGAAGCCAGCTCATTTGAGGTCGCATTCACCTTTCTGTTCAGCGTTTCTGACGAACGACATGATGACAGGTCAAAGTGGTCGCTGCCCAGCCAGCAGAATACAAGATCCAAGAGGGAACACTCCCGTATCAGCTGAATTACCCCACTATCATTGGAAGTCAGTATCCGTTTCCAGCAGAGTGGCCTCCGCTATAGAACATTGTTGCTAAGCTGAGTGCAGTATCATTTTCTGGCGTGGTCGTCAAAGTCGGCACGGAGGTCAACCGCTTCAAGAAGGGCGACCGCATCGTCACCAACAGCGCTGGAAGTATCCGCAATGATCCCCGATTTGGAGCATACCAGAAATACGCGGTTACCACGCAAGAAATGACAGCGAAGGTAAGGGGAACGAGATGTCCAGCTCAAGTCTCGCGATGTAACCAACTGTCTGCTAACAACATGGCCTTGCAGATTGGACAAGTGTCCTTCGAAGCTGCGGTATCCATCTCCAGCCTGGCCTATCCTGCCAGTGCCCTTTTCATACACCTGCACCTTGAGAAGCCAGCAGAACATGCCAATCCCGAGAACAAGAACAAGAAGGTGCTTATCTGGGGCGCTTCTTCTTCTTTCGGCGCCTATGCAACCTATCTGGCTACCAGAGCAGGTTACACAGTGGTGGGCGTTGCGTCTTCCAAGAATGCGCAGCTTGTAAAGTCCTTCGGTGCTGTGCACTTTGTCGACAGGAAATCACCGACAGTAACGCAAGAGCTCACAGATATAGGACCTTTCGAAGCCGTCTTGGCAGCTGCTGACGCTGCCCAGGATCAGCCTGTGTTGGGAGCGGTCTTGGCTGCGCACGGAGGGGGTTCTTTTCTGTCGACAATGGGCTTGCGGCCGGGTGTGGAGCTGCCCACTGGAGTTCAAGCAAACTTTGTGCCCATGATGGATGTCTACCTTGACCCCAAGACACGCGACTTTACCACGTGGGTGTGGTGGGATTTCTTGGAAAGTGAACTCGCGGCTGGGCGGCTGCAGCCTGTGCCCGTTCAGGTTCTCGGTGGCCTGGATATGGTGCAAGAGGCGTGGAATCTGCTCAAGGCGGGGAAAGTAAGCGGCCAGAGACTGTTGATAGCACCTGGTCTTTAGTCACTTCGCACAGTGTGTTGATGACTGCACACTCGCTCAATGCACGTACTTATGTTGGCTGTGCTTCTACCGTTCCAAGGTTTTCCGGATCGTTGGCATGTTACTATAGAGGAAAATGTTGCAAAGCTTGGCTTTCCTGCTACCGCGAATCTTGAGCCATAAAATCCCATCAAGCCTCACGGCGTTTCCGTGAGTTTTACTCTGAAACTGATGCCGACACATTACGTGATTTGAGTACAGATGTTTGGGCTGGTATAATCAGCCACAGTCCGTTGCAGCTACAAAATTGGCATGATTCATGACACCTTGAAAATTACGTCAGATAGTAATATGAAACCCTAAAGACTGTATTGGACAGTCAATGTGCGTAACAATTATATTGCACTCCCATGTATTGTGGTGTGAAGCGTAGCGTTCGCACGTGAGCGCGCGACTAGTTCAAACTGGCGGAGGCGCGCCTGCCGTAAGGGTCCACGGGTATTTGCTAGCTGCATTACATCATTCTTCAACCCATGTATATCTCACAAACATCAACATCTCACCACAAGCTACCAAGGCCGTCAATTGCCTTGTCAAACTAGGGCCGAGCAATAATTATGTGCTCTCTACCCATAGATGACAAGACGGGTCTGGAGGCTTTCCGCATCGCGGGTCTGCCGCCGGATTTCTATTACATCCCCAACTTCATTAGTCACGAGGAGGAGGCGTCGATTTTGCACAAGGTAAGTGTTCTTCTCATACAATTCCTAGTCTACAAACTTGAATATACGTTGCACAGGGGAAGTTTACTTACCCCGCCTTACTCCATGCACACTATTCGATCTCCACACTCCACACCTTCAATCGCCGCGCAAGAGATCCACGACCCAAGATACACCTTCCAACCCCAACCCTCCTTAATGATACACTAATCCCCGCCTCCTCCTAGATACCCGCCCAACGATGGACCCACCTCACCCACCGCCGTCTCCAGGCCCTCCCCTCCACACTCACATCCAGCAACACGCTCCTCGCCGCCCCTCTACCGACTTACCTCACCACACCCATCTTAACCCGCTTTGAAGACTTGGGTATCTTTGATCACACGCCGCATGGTCAGCCAAACCACGTTCTTGTCAATGAATATAAGCCCGGTGAGGGCATCATGCCGCATGAAGACGGTGGAGCGTATGCTGAGGTTGTTGCGACTGTGAGTTTGGGAGGGGGTCTGTGCTTGGATGTGTTGGAGAAGAGTGGGGGTGAGGGAGAGGAAGAAGATGGGAGAGGGAAGAGAGGTGGTGGAGATGAAGGACAGTCTCAGTCTCTGAACACAGACGCAGACGGAGAAGAGCAGAAAACCAAAGAAAAGATGCTCACCCTTCCAACCCGCATCTTCCAAGAACCCCGCTCCCTCCTCATCACCACGGGGCGGGCCTACAGGGAGCTTATGCACGGTATCTCACCCATCTCCGTCGACGAAAACTTGAATGTAGAAACAATTGCGAATTGGGAGTTGTTGAGTGAAGAAGGTAGAAGGGCGGTTGAAGAGAATGGAGGCAGGAATTTGAGGGGGACGAGGGTGAGTTTGACGTATAGGGATGTGATTAAGGTCAGTAAGGCGGCAAGTCGGGTTTTGGGGGGGATGGGTCGGCGGTAGGGGGTAGGATGGATGGGGAGGAAGAAGGGGAGGAGGAGGTGGAGGATGTTTGAACGTGTTTAATAATCTTTCGTGACACAACAAAGGAAATGCCAACTACACTTATATACACCCCTCCCTCTCCAACTCAGCACATATCCGCTTCCAACACACCCACCCCAAGCCTTCAACCAACAAGCACCCTACTGCTGACCCTTCGCCGGCCTATAATGACCCGCCAACTCCACATCATCCGTACTCCTATCGCTCTCCCTCCTCTCCTCCTGCACCTTATCCGTCCTCTGCGCGTTCTTAGCCCTAACCGCCTTCTTCCTCCTAGCCTCACCCACAACCATCGCCGCAACCCACACCAGCCACATAACCGCCGCAATAACACCATACGCAATCGCGCCATCGCGCGAGTTATCCGCGAGCAACAATCCCAGTCCACCGTTAATCATACCAAGCGTGATCGCAATACGTCCAACCCAGATATGAGCGTAGGAAGTAAGAGTACGACGCTGTGTCTTCTTGAATAAGATGTGATGTAGGGTTCCGAGGAAGGGCATGAAGAAGACGAGGCAGAAAACCAAGATACCGATGATGGCGTGGTAGCTGCTGATATAGTGACCCCCGCTGATGGGAAGCGCGAGCCAGATTCCCATGCCGAATGCCGCGATGTACACCATGTAAGCCAAGATCTGGAAGCCAGCGTGCAGCCACACGATGCCTGGGAAGGAGGCAAGGCGGATGGCGATGGCGCCTGAGGGGAAGAGGATGACGAAGGCGAGGGAGGCGAGGACGCCGTGGGCGATTAACATGGTGCGTTTCTTGGAGGGGCTGACGGATGCGCCGGAGCTGATGGTTTGGACGGAGTTTCCGCCTGTGGCGCCGCCGTTGGGGAGGGTGTCGCAGTAGGGGAGGTCGTCGTCGTCGTCTTTGCCGCCCTTGTCGGGGGAGGGGGAGCGCTTTTCTCCTGGGGGGCCGTTGGGGCGCGATGTAGGACGAGAGGTTGGGCGGCCGTAGTTGTCGTCATCGTCGTCGTCGTCGTCGTTGCTGCTGGTTTGGCTTGGCCTGGCGTTACCTGTGCCTGCGGCGCCGGAGGGGCGCTGGCGGCAGTTGGTTGGTGTTGCGCCACCTGTTGTGCCAGTTGGAGAGGTGTTGACGAGGGGGTTTACGCTTGAACCGCCCTTTGCTTGGGCGAACTGCCAGTCGAAGACACCCTGGTTGGAGTGCTGGTCGATTTGCGCAGAGGTGGAGTCGTCGTTCTTGGGTCCGCCGGAGGATTGGTAGGCGAAGATCCAGCTCCCGCTGTTTCTGGTGAAGTCCATGGTGCCGCCAGACCAGGAGTTGCAGTTTGAGCCTGCGTCACGTCTTAGTCTGTGTTGATGTCGTTGTATTCGTCAAACTTACATCTCACGTTCGCAGTCATCACACCGTTCGAAACACCAGATCCTTCAAGCAGAGTGACTTGAGCAGCATCGTTGGGGCTGGGGGGCTGGTAGCTGGTAGTCGATCGCGGTGATAGTGTAACATTGTTGCCAGATCCTGAAGTGTACACGACGAAGATGTTGGAGTTAGGCATGCCGCTGCCTTGGCCGAGCGCAACCCACTCATAGTTGCTTGGGGCTGATATCTGGAAGAAGATGTCTCCCGATCCGGATGATGCTGTGCGCTCAGGGATGTTGAGGCCATAGCATACTCCCGTAGATGGGCAGACACTGGCTACTTGCGCTGTGGCTTGGGAGGCTAGATAGGGTTAGCACCGTGGTAAGATGGGGCCGTTATTGGGGGCTTACCCAGAGCCAAGAGGCCCATGACCGAACTTGTTGTGCGCTTCATCTCTTGTGTTCTGAAACTGAAAGGTCGTTGAAGGATGCTGAACACTCTAAGTTGCCAAAGGGCTCGATGTTTAAGGCTAGTAGACAGCGCCTAGCTGAAAGCGTGGCTTGATGGCGTCGTCTCTAGAGGCGATCACGAAGCTATTGATCTGAGTTCAAGTAGCCAAACCAATAGGAGAAGATGTCTTGATGTGAGTAAGGGATATGCAGTTCGATAGTGATTCGGCAGCAGAGGACAAAGAGGTTTATAGATGGTGGAGCCCGGATCACCCGCCTTCCAAGATACACCTCCAAGCCCCCAAGAGAGATGCTGACAGAAGCATGGCTACGTACACGCAACCTGGCTTAGTTTGGTGGAGGTAGGTACCTCGCAGGCACAGGTGAACCCAACGGTATTACTGCTGATGTGTGGTTGGACAAGCCTGGCCGAATGCGGCGGCTTTGCGGAGAGCCGTCAGTCACCGGCTGGGCATAGCAAAACACCGTGAGGACCTCGCGATGTGACAACACAACTTGTGCAAGCAGTACGCGTCACGAACGCCAGAGGGCCGCGATAACAAGTGAGATCTCCCGCCTGTACATGGTGCAGGGTCTGGCGCAGAGAGGTGGTACCAGTGAGGGCCAGCGGACTCAACGTTCGGCGCGGCTTGGCTGGACGCGTCGTGGTGGCTATGTGCAGGGCCAAACAAGTAAGTTGCATCCGGACGAATGACACGCCAGCTATTTTGCAAAAGTAATGTCCCGGCGCGGGGGCACGCTGGGAACGGCGGGCATGTCAGTTCACGTAAGGTTGGGAACAGGTGTGGTCTCGACGGTCGCGGTCTTGGTGCCCGCTCTTGTGGGCCCTTCCTGTCCCGCACGTCCCTCGCCTTGGATCTCCCAACACCCAATTCCAGCGACCGCAATTCCAAGACATGTCAGCAACATGCGTCGAGATCCAGACTCCCATGACTTCATCCTCGAGCTGGGCACACTCTTACAGGAGCATGGTGTCCAGGCTGTGCTTGTTATCGTCAGCCCTCGATCACCGGCCTCGTCGAATTCCGATCGGAGATTCGGCCTGTTTCTCATATTACGGTGTATACGCGACATTATTACCACTGCATGGAATTGCCTTCTACTTTGGGACCATCGCACTGCAGCTGCATGAAGTCCGGTCGGTTTCACGTGGCGCTGTTCATGTCTCGATAGGCGCAGGCTGGTGGCTTGCAAGCGTGGCAGCCTCAGCCCTGAAGGACCGCGTCAGCTCGGAGCGCGAAACCTTGGATTCCAGGAAGTAAAATCAACACCATCGGCGTCTTCTGCTGGGAATCACCGAGGCATCACAATGCCAAGCTAGCTGCTTTCTCTCAGCATACGTCGATGATGAGTTATCGACATCTTGTTGCGGGGTTGCTCGATCGCGAGAGCCTTCGGAGTTAAGTGTGAGGGCCGATAGTGAGTTGTCGCACGAAGTCAGCATCGACCGCCCCAACCTTCTACAACGACCGTCAGACCTCCCCGACTTCGCCGTCTTCGCGCAGTTTGTGCTCGAGTGCACGTTTCTCTTCTCGCGTGCATTTCACGATCAGTGTGTTTTTCGATTCGGTTGTTTTCCTCTCCTTGCACCGACAAAGGCCCTTTTCCTCATCACAACAATTTTGCAGCAATCACGTGTTGTCTCTTGCACTGCCACTTCCAAGTTTCTTACTCACCCAGCCAATCAACACCCCGGCAGCGTATGTCGGTCGGGAAAGGGCCGAGCAGAAATCTGGGGTATTACCGTCCGCTAAGGAGTAACATCCGGCGGTAGCGGTAGCGAGCAATGAGCATCATACGATGCCTGCGATTCCAAATTCACAGATTGCTGCGCCTCAGGCTTAGAGTATATTGGGAGTGAAGCTGCCGGAAGAAGAGCTAGGCTGACAACTAGAAGGCTGTGGTTGGTGGAAGCTCATGGTAGGTAGTTCATCTCCTCGTACATCGTCAAAGTGCTGTACAGTCATGATTGGTACTTCCTTAGTCATGGTCGATATGAGGAAGGTACATCTCTATGTGTCGTTGTGGTCACCGCACATTGCTCGGCGTGACGGCGTGTCTTCATCTACGCCACGGTCGAATTTCATCAACGAGCACTCCACCTTCTCCTTCTGAACACCAGGTTCGGCGATTTGAGTCTTTGAGAAAGTTAGAGGCGGTGAGCAATTCTCCTTCCGTCGAGATTCGAGTGTTATGCTTTGGCCAACTTCTCTCAGTGGTCGCATGTACCTACTTCTTCAGTTCTGACATTTTCGTCCGTGCTACGATCAGGGCTAGCGGGTACCTGTCCCTCTGGAAAAGACCCTCTGAGTTTCGGAGTATCTTCCGCACGTGCCATTGACTTTCACTTTGAACTTATTAGATGGATGCCGGTAACCAGAGCCGCTCGACGAGATCTCATCACACCTGAAAACCAGAGACCATTTTACGCGATGCACCTCATGTGTCCAGACCAGACTGGGTAGTCTGCTATATGTTCCCCGCATTCTTGCCTTTTCTCCGAGCTGCATGTTGTATGTATATTAGCGATCATCCGGCAGCTGCATTTAGCCTTCGGTATAGTAATACGCAGTCACACCAGATGTCGCCCACATCACTAGAGACTTCCTTCTCTCCGCAGTCCTCATTTGCGTCCAGAGTACCTTTGGCGTCATCTTCATATGTGTTGAGAGATGGCGTACAGTGCAATAGATGAGATGTCGCCAGGTGCACAGCATGAAGACAACATAAGATGGTCAGCTCCTTGGTCCTCACACCAAAACGTACCCGAAACATAACCATAGCTTCGCACATAAACAGGTAACTCCACGACATCGCAACCACCACGATGCTGCTCCCCATCCTCCTCTCTCTCGCCGGTCTGTTCACGACGACAGCCGCCCAAACCACCAACCCCCCAATCCGGTACATGCCCTTCGGCGACTCCATAACCGAAATAATCTGCTGGCGCTCCAAGCTCTGGCAACGCCTGCAAACCACACCCTTCAACTCCTCCACCGTCGACTTCGTCGGCAGCGGCAAAACCGAGAACAACTGCCGCGACACGACCTACGACCGAGACAACGAAGGCCACTCTGGTTTCCTCGCTATCGACATTGCGAACAAAGGGCAGTTGGATGGGTGGTTGAAAGCTAATCCTGCGGATGTGATTACGATGCATCTTGGCACGAATGATATTGTACAGCAGAATAAGGCGGTGGGAGATATTATCAAGGCGTTTGGGACGTTGGTGGGGAGTATGAGGGGGGCGAATCCGAGGATGAAGATTGTGGTGAGTTTGGTGTTTTTCGTACTTACCTGTGTACCTGCGTAAGGTACGCTGTTGTACAAGCACTGTCTCGTCGCGTCGCATACTCCTGGGCTTCGCACTCGAGCCTGAACTCTTTTCGCGAGTAACCTTGCGTGGTCTCATCGTATACCACTTGCTTACTCATGCTACTCATCCAGGTCGCGCAAATCATCCCCATGGGCTTTGGCAGCTACAACACCAAGATCCAAGACTTGAATCGCGCGATCGTTCCTTGGGCCCAGGGTCTCAACACGACGGAAAGCCCCATCTGGGTTGTGGACCAGTATAGCGGGTTCAGTGGGACGGCGGATTTGAGGGATGGGATACATCCGAATGATAGTGGGGATGTCAAGATGGCGAATGTATGGTTCCCGGCGGTTGTCAAGGCTTTTGAAGCGGTGAGGGCGGATAGGGGCACAGCAGTTGGTATGGTTGAGAGGGAGTTTGCTGGGTAGATGATGACAATCCCAGAGGACGGCAAGGTGTGAGACTGTGTAGTCAAGGACCGCATCATGTAACTACCATCCATGAATGCACGATGAAGTTTAGTTCTGGATGCTTCGTAGGTCAATCGCGACCAGTCGAGACGATTGCACGTGACGCTAGCGCCATGACCTGACGCTAAAATCTCCAGCGTGGGGCAGCGGCGCCCAAATTGTCAACTCCCCGACTCGACGGCGCATCAACAAATAACAGCACTCACGCCCACCGCCTGCAACGCCACCCCTTCACCACGGACACTTCGGGCTGCATGCTTTTATCTCGTCGCTGATCGCCCAAAACAAACCCTTAGACGCCTGCACATAGATAGCCGCCATGGGAGAATCAAGGTAGGCACCGGGCCCGAGGGGTTAGGCTGCGGCCATCTGCGCAGACACCTTCACCACGACCACACGCTGACAGCGACACGTGAACAGACAAGAACTCGTCGCCTGGTTGAACAACCTCCTCCAGCTCAACATCACCAAAGTCGAACAATGCGGTACCGGGTACGTTGCGCGCGCCGAGGATAGAGGGGCACCCCTGGCCTTGAGGAGTGAGGACGTGTACTGACATGGCGGACAGAGCAGCGCTGTGCCAAGTCTTCGACAGCATATTCTGTAAGGCCTTCACCTCACCTAGGCGCGGATGAGATTAAGACTAACAGCGTGCAGATGATGTGCCCATGTCGCGAGTCAAGTTCAATGCGAACACTGAGTACGCATACCTGCAGAATTTCAAGGTATTACAGAGTACGTCTCCCTTCCCACCGTCACTTTCTCCCGCTAACAATGCAGACACGTTCGCCAAGCACCATGTCGACAAGCCCATCCGCGTCGAGTCGCTCGTAAAGTGCAAGATGCAGGACAACCTCGAGTTCCTCCAATTCGTCAAGCAGTACTGGGACCAGCATTTCCCCGGCCACGAGTACGACCCCGTCGCCCGTCGCAAGGGCCAGGGAGGTGTTGCCACCGGAGCCACGCCTGCACCCCGCGCCGCCGCATCCACTGCCCGGAGAGCACCAGCTGCTAGCAACACGGCTGCGCCTAGGACACGCACACCGCTTGCCTCTGGGGGAGGAGCCGCCAGCGCTGCTCTGCGCGAGGAGAACAGTGCTCTCAAGGAGACTGTCACAGGCCTCGAGCGCGAGAGGGACTTTTACTTCAGCAAGCTGCGCGACATTGAATTGCTGATCCAGCAAGCAATGGAGGCCGACCCCGAGCTCGAGAAAGATGAGGGGCTGCTCAAGCAGATCCAAAACATTCTCTACTCCACCGAAGAGGGCTTCGAGATCCCACCGGAGGCTGAGGGTGAGGGTGCGGAGGAGGAGACGTTCTAGCCGAGCGTCAGTACTCTTTCTGCTGCTCCGACAGCCAGTTCAGACGTGCAGCTTGACAACATCATTTCCGCTGCGCACATGTTATTGGAAACGGCCAAACGTACGAAAACTCGTCGATCTGCGGGGCTCGATAGACCTACAGAGCGCGCTGAAAGTACTGGACCTTCCCAAAGCCTCGTATCCGCAAAGCCTGTGAAGTATACACCGTGTGCGGAGCCTATTACTGCCAGTCTTTCAGGCTCTTTTGCGTTTGTCTCAGAGCCCGCTACTCGAGTTGTTACCGCGCAGTCTGCTGAGTCGTCGGAGAGTGAAGTGTTCTAAAGGTGGGTATGGTCATGATTGCATTTGGAAGCGAGGATACCATCTTTCTAGGGAGTTTAGCTTCCTATTGTTCAATACACGATGTTTATGAGTTTGTTTGTTCGGGATTGAGATTGAAACTGTGTTCTTTGAAGTGTCTGCTGATAAGATTGTGTTGCGACCTACATGAGGGGCGCAACGTTACTTCTGTCAGACGTTTCCTTGACGAACATCACAAGCCGAGCACGCTGAACCACCGCTTTATACCTGCGCGCTTCTCCGTGCTCCCAGTTCTCATCCATATCATGTCACTCATCACCTCCTCCGCCGTACTCTCCGCATCAATACTCCATCCACATGAATAATCCGGGTTACCCGGATCCACTGGTGCCTATGTATACATTTCTCAATCAGTTTCTCGTACCTCTACAAGACGGATGCAACGTTACATACCCCTTCGAGACAACATGCCCAGCCCCTAGGATACAGATCCACCGTGCAATCTGTCAAGTTGGCGACGGGTATGGGCGTATAACATGGTGGCCCGTTGTGGGAAAGTAGTTCGGTGCAGCAGGCATCGATGTAGGTGGGGCCGAAGTAGGTTTGGCAGAGGCTTAGTGGAGGATCTGCCTGTGCACGAACGGAGTTGAGGAGAGGGAGGAGGAAGACGGTTATGGCTGTGGTGGAGGGAAGGGTGAACATTGTTGTTTGTTTTGCTCTTGGTTGATACAGATTACGGTGAGATTAGGGGGGAGATGGTAGATGGTAGATCCTATAGTGATCAGGATATGAGGGTAATAGTTGGTATTTATATTCGAAGTAAACGGCCTCTCATCCCAGCTTCTAATAACCCCGGGTACATCACACCTGTTCAATGTTACCCATACTCCCCGCTGACCACCTTCCGTTCACATGTACTCCAAACGAGTGACAGAGCCATGCAACGTACCACCCATCCGTCATCCCTTCTCACTCATCCGTCACCCGTCATACCTAAATCCACTTCGCCTGCCTAGCCATGTATGGTACAGCATGCTCCGCGCTCAAGCGTCCTTCATGGCAGCAACAGCCTTAGCCATAGTCTCACCCATAGCATTGGAACTGAAGTAATCCCAGTACACCTGCTCCAAATCCTCAAGAGTCATGTATTCGGATACGATGCCGCTGGGTCCGTGGCCGAAGAGAGGGCCGGAGGTGGGATAGGCGGGCTCCTAGTAATGCCGTTAACATCAACGCTTTCACCTTCTCCTCCCTCTCCCTCTCCCTCCCCTCCTCATCCATCCTCGTTCCCTCTCCCTCCCCTCTCCTAAACCCCGAAAGTAAGTAAATAACAGATCATACCTTTTCAACACAAACAGCCCACCCCGTCGGATAATGATACGTCGAGCACTCCGTCAAGTTGCTGACATACTCGATGTCGGTGCAAGGTGCGTTGATCCCGCGACTGATGACCGTGTGGCAGCAGGCGTCGGTATAGTCGGTGCCGTAGAGGAACTCGCAGATTGTGTCGTCGGGGCCCATCTGCGCGGTGGTCAGGAGGGGAAGAGACGCTGCGAGGGCGATGATGGGGGCGGTGAAGCGCATTTTGGGGGAGTTGCTGGTTTGGGGGGGTGGTGGTGGTTGTGGGATAGTGGGTGTGTTGACTGTGGTGGGAGGTGAGAGGTGGGATACGGGGTTCTTCGTGGGTATTTATGTGGTGACGGAGATTTGCTGGGTCAATGGTAGAGATGACGATACACCCATTGAGGACATTCCGGTACTGCAGATGCGCCATCCCGTCTTCTTTCCTTCCGTATGGCAAGAGTGTATACCCGTGGGTGTTCCTCGGATGGCCATGGAAGTCTGCATCCTCGCATGCTTCTGGAACGATTCTGAGCCATGGAAGCCGAATGACTTTTTCGTGTGACGCTAGCATGATTGACCGGACGGAAAAGGCTTGAGAAACGGCATGATAGTCCCCAGTGCCGATGATGTCGGGGTCTTGCATATGCCGTGGACTTAGATGACATGTCAGGGTTTCCTAATCTGTCGAAACCTTCGGGGATGGTGTCTGTCACTTTCCGTTTGAGCCCAGACCTTGATGGGTAAGTCTTTCTTCTTTCCCTGCTGCTTAGCGAGGTATGGATCATGTGCGGATCTGTCCAAGGTAGTCGAGCAGCAAACATACCTATTTGTAACAGTCGCACTTGAGGCTTCGGGGGTTAGAGAATGAGGTAGAAGGCAGGGCATGCTAGTAGTGGATGCGTTGAATGAAGAGGGAAAGACGTCTGTAGGTGTAGTCGAAATGTCCTTTGTTCCATCAAGACAGATCATCAAGCCAGCTCTGAACATTGACCCCTTCATCTACCTCAAGATCCCTCATCCAAAGCCACGCTTCAAGATCATGCCACCAAGGTCCAAAAGGAACTTCATCGAGGTTTGTGAGCCCCTGCATCGACACACCACTAAATCTATAAACCGTAGGATCATGGCGTAGCCGCCGGTGTTCTCTCACGTGTCGACTTTCCTTACCCATGAAAGTCGTGCGAACAGGCACCAGTCTATCTGCAAACACTCTAGCCCTAGCGAAATCACCCCTCGCTTTTGTGATCTGGAAAGCGAGGTAGTATGCATGAGCCAGGCCGACTGGATTCGGGCTATGGTCGTGTCGCTTCCACAGTTGGACCATTTCCTCGATGAGGCAGAGCAGTGTCTCAGGTGATTTGTTGATGCCGCGCGGCCCGAGACCAGCTTCGTCGGAGACGATGTTGTCTATTTCGTTAATGCGATTCAGGATCAAGTCGCTCTCGATGGACTGCTGAGATAGTAACGAGCAGAGTTGACATTGACAGGTGAAATGAAACCTCCGTTGGAGCTCCTCTTGTCGCTCGTTTCGATCGAAGGCGCCCCCCAGATAAGATATTGTAATTTCTTCGCCCCTTGAGATATCTCGTATGGCATGTACTGTTAGCCGATTGCTATCATCGTGCCAGCAGTGAGCGGCGTTGTTATCGCACGCATGGTTGATGCGACATGCTGTGATGAAGATACCGCTGAGATCTAACTTTGAACCGATGGGTAGAGCGTTTGTGTACAAAATACCGATCCATTGCGCCTCATAGTCGTTGAAAGGGTGGATATTGCTCATGGAAAGAAACTCGCCTCTGTGATGTTGGCTCAAAGACGTGACTCGATCTGCTAGTTCTGTCTCAACTGGTTCTCCCACCGCGAAGATGGGTTTCTCAGATATGATCCTTGTACCTTTGGGGATATCTCTAGTCGCAATAAGGCCTTTACCTTTTCCAGGCACATCTTCAATAGTGTAAGTGAGTGGGGTGGCCGAAGCATGTATGTTACCAATGAGTGCTTGCCGTGAGGGATGCATCTTGTTCTGGCTGAAAGTCAAAATCCGGTATTATTGACGCCTTGTAATCTGCTGGACGGTTCGTAGAACATTATGAGGATGATATGTCTATATAAGTAAGTAGCGCAGGTCACGCTCAGGGTGTCATGCTGGAACCCGCAAGTCATAGGGGACAGACGGTTGTTTGCTGGTAACACATGAGGCTCTGTCTTGGGTAGAAGTGAAATTGTGTTACCCGCGATTTCGCAAACAAGAGCTTCCATTCTGTGGAATATCAGTCGTTGAGAGCGCAGTCAGCGTAATTGTGTGGGTGGCCAGTCCGGTGGATGGCTGGAGTATCGCCCTGAGTGCGCCAATATGAACTTGCCGCTATCCGCTGTGCAGTCTCGATGCGCGCTGAGGTGAATCATCATTCTTTATAGAGAACAACAATTCGAATGTCTGCTGAGATACGTGAAGACGTGCAAATCACGGATGTTGTTGAGATGGGAGTTCCTCGGCTGACGTTCAAATCCCGTAAGCCAACACTCCGCAATCGGACCAGAGGAGCTTTGCCGATGATCTTCAGCTGATCATTTCGAGATTGCGACATCTATCGTCAGGGCAGAACTGATTAAGGCGATGAGGCATGAGTTGGCGGCCGCGGCTTTGCATGTGGTTCGTAATAACTGAGGCTTGCTCAGAAGTGGGTTTGGAGCGTTGTGGGGAACGATCGCCTTCCCTGCCAGCGGCTTGGCGGCGGCGCTAGTGGGGTTAACGTGTCTCGCGCGCGTCCGGCTTGCTTGATCAACACTCCCCGCGTCTCCTCATAGCATGCATCATCAGCTAGCCGCCCAAATATGGTCTGGGTCAAAAGCGAGCTCACCGGAACCATGACGAGCGACAGTCGAGACATGCGCCCACGTGAGCCGCACCCCGCATTACTTCTACCCCTCCTGGCACCATAGCTCCATAGCTAGCTCTGGGCGATACCGGGGTTATGCGTTGCTATATGTGTAGAGCGCGCCGTCAGCATGCTTGCGCATTATTTCTGCCCTCCTCTGCCTCTCTTAATCCAATTCCTTTCCTCTGTTGAGTTCTCGCATTCGTCGCGTTGTAACGAGTCATTGCACGCCCAGAACCACCATGTCTGACTGGTCTGATCTTACCGCGGCTCTCAAAGGAAGCTTGGACAAGCTTTCCAAGCTTCTCCAATCCGATGCACAGCTCAAAGCCTTTACGACTTCGAATGCCATTGACAAGGATGTGACTTTTGGCATCAAGTCAAGCGGTTCTGACAACACCCTCCTTGTCACAGTCACCAACGGCAGCGCAAAAGCCAGCACCGGCTCTTCGAAAGATGCCCTGTTCACGCTCTCTGCTCTGCCCGAGCAATGGGAACAGCACTTCAAGGCAGTGCCGGCCATGCCGTACCAGAGCTACTGGGGAATGTTCGGCATGAACATCAAGCAGAAAGGCATTGAAGTCCTGGGCGATCAGACAGCCTTTGCACAATGGACACATGTCTGGAGGCGCGTCCTCGAACTCACACACGACGCGCATTGTGGACCGATGAAGGAAGACGAGCAAGCCGAACCCGAGCGCGACTTCCTCACTGGAAAGTACCTGTACCTCGAAGCTCCCGTATGGGGTAGGTGCAAAACCTTCTACGAGTACTCTGGTGAGGGAAAGCAACCCATCGTCTTTCTGCATACTGCTGGCAGCGATAGCCGGCAATACCACGGTGTCATGAACGACGCGAAGATGCGCAAGAAGTGCATCATGTACGCATTCGACTTGCCAGGACATGGACGCAGCTTCCCTTCGAAGAACTACTCCCCGGGCGCGCATACAAACACCGAAGATAGCTACGTGGGCATCATCACGGCTTTCGTGAAGGCCCTGGGTCTGCGAAGACCGATCATCTGCGGTGCAAGCATGGCTGGTCAAGTCTGTCTGGCGGTGGCGATTCGCCATAGGGAGGTTGGCGCTGCAGGTGTTATTCCGTTGCAAGGGTATGTGAGACAGTGAGGTTAAAGTTGCCATGCTAACAATTGTAGTTCGGAGTACCTCAACATGGAGCGACAATGGCATGATCGCTCTCCAGTAGTGAATCAGTCGCTATTTAACCCTGAATGGATCTATGGCGTACGTCAAACAGGTCAGCTAGCAAGAGAGCGTTGCTGACATGCAGTAGATGATGTCTCCAACCACGCCCCACGTAAACAAGCAGCTCATATGGCACACATACAGCGCGCAAGCCTACGGCGTAAGCCCACCCCCATCACCTCCCACCACCCCCTTCTAACCCGCCCACAGATCTTCCACGGCGACCTCGACTTCTACTTCGGAGGTTGGGACGGACGTTCACGCGTAGCCTCGATCGATACCCAGAACTGTCCCGTATACATGTTGACCGGCGAGTACGATTGGTCCAACACCCCAGAGATGGGACAGAAAACGGCGGACAAGATACCCGGAGCGATGCACAAGGCGATGCCGGATCTTGGTCATTTCCCAGCGACGGAAAATCCGGCGAAGTTTGTGCCGCATCTTATTGAGGCGGTTGATCATATATTGAAGATAAGGTCGGATAATTTGAGTACTATGCGGTTGGGTGATGGTACGGATTAGATGTATGTCGTTGTGGGGATGTATGGATGACAGCGACAATATCTTGTTTATGCGCGAATATATCGACTGTTTTCTATGGTTCAATTGACCTTTTAACCCCGTTTAAGGGGAAATCTGAACTGGTGCCCGAAGTCTACATTGCCCTAAAAACCTCTGTTTGTAAGATTTTAAAGCAATGTAGCCTTCTAAGCTTCTTTTTATGAATTGTACTTCGCAGAAATATGTGTCTGATGTCTCCATTGAGTGGGGTGGTTTTACCCGCAACATTCCACAGCCTTCCATCTCACTCGAGGAGAAAACTGAACATCTTAGAACCTTGCAATCAGCGGAGTGAGAGGGAGTCGCTTGAAAGAGAGGATGAGAAGATCCGAGCATACTGGCATAACGTTTCATGAGCTGGGTTACGCATTAATCGTATGGTTTGGAGGGTTTCGTTTGCGGACATGGTATGAGAGAGTTTGCAATCATTTGAATTGTTATGTGCGAAAGACAGGACGGTAGTATACTCATGCATTGCTTCGACGGATGGAGATACGCAATTAATACTTGTATCTCACATGCACATTGACCCTCCCATCCAAAGAAAGGGTATCGTACTCAGATTATCCAGCCCAAAACCATGACAAAA